TAAATATATACGCTGCAAGAAAAAAAATAAAAAAAAAAAGAGACTATATGACGCGAGGAGGATTTTGTCCTACTTCAGGTATGAGGGATACCCCACACCAACTTTATGCCAATTTCACTTGTTTATACTTTTCTTTATTGCTACAAGCTACCAAGATATAGATATAGACAGATAGATAGAGGACGATTAAAACAAGGAATATATTAAAACAAGAAACCCAAAGAAGAAATAGGCAAATCAACAGAGAAGGCCAAAAGACAGAAAGAGAAATAAACAGAGTGAACAGAACCCTATCAGCAGAGAGAACACTAGCAGAAAGTGGGTGAATGAGTTGGTTTTACTAATATTCCATATCCATATTTCACCATTTCAGACCACATCAACTCCCCTTCTTTCAATACTACACACTGCACCAATAAAAAAAAACTGCAAAAATAGGTATAACAGAAAAAACACCAAATAAACAAGTGAAGAGAAAGAAAGACACGCGACGCTAAGGGAAGAAGGATGGCAAAAACAATAGTAACGAAAAATGATACAATCCAAACAACAACAAATTCACTCTATACGGCACTACGTGCGCAATTCAAAATCTTCCATCAAACACCAGATACAGATGTAGTCACCCGATTTAAAAACTGTCCCATAAAAACAAGGGACCAAAGAAATAAAAAAAAAAAAAAGAACAGGGAAAAAGATAAGAAAAAGTGGTTCCCCCACAGATGAGATCAGAAATACCCTCACATACAAACCCCTCACTCACACTCACAAAAAAAAAAAGAATCACTGTTACAAAACACACAGTCCAAAAAATTCTTTTTATCCCTTCCGTTCCTCATTTCTACTTGTTTTTTTACAGGCTCATTTCGTTTATTTATTTCGTATTCCCATGTGTTACACCGCTCCATCTCACTTCATGCTGCCTGTTAAGCCTGTGCGCAGCTCCCTTGCGAGGGAGTCCAGTCCACCCGCTCCATCAATAAAGAGTAGATTGCTCCTGCTGCCCTCCGCCAAACTCTTCAAGGTGTCATAGTACTGATTCATCAGCAGCAGATTCAGCACATCATCGTGGTTGAGCCCTTGTACATTCTGCTGCATTAACTCCACAGACTTACGCAGTCCAGCAACGATTGCCTTTCGCTGCTCCGCAAGCCCCTCACCCGCAAGCCGGCGTGACTCACACAACGCCTCCGCCGCCCGCACGCGTCGCATTTTGTCTGTCTCTGCCTCATCCACGACGGCAACCCGCAGTCGCTGGTACTTCTGAATACTGTTAATGGACTCCGTGATGCTCTGGCCAGGGTCTATCTCTGTGATGAGCGCAGAGACGATGTCCCAACCGTAACTCTGCATCACAGAGTCCGTCTCATTCTTCAGCTGCTGCGAGATGGTACCACGTTCAATAAATAGGGCATCAAGGTTGTAGAGCGGGATCTTCGCCTCAACGGAGTTCTCCACATAACTTGTGATGATCTGCAGCGGATTCTCTACGCTGTAGAAGGCCGCCTCCACACTGTCTGGGATCGCCTGCACCTGCACTGTGAGCTGTAGCCGCACAAACACGTTGTCTTTTGTTTTAGAGTGTATTGTGATTCGGTGTTCATACAGTCGCAATGAGATTGATGCTGCCTTGTATGTCCATGGCAGTATACAGTGGCATCCGGGACCAGCCGTGCCGCTGAACTTCCCACATGTCTCTAGTACAGCCACTCCTGACTGATCCACCGTGGTGCAGCAGAGACACTGGCCCATACAGTCTTCTTCTTATGTCTAGATCCTTTCTTTTGTTCTTTTCTTTTATTTCTTTCCTTCACTTTAAGTTGAACGTCAGGCTCCTTTCTTTTTTTTTTAAAAATGTACCACGTGTGTTTCTCACCCCCCAACCACTCTCTCTTTGTGTGTATGGGTGTACGTGGTTCAAGATAGAATTCCCCGTTCCTTGTTTTACGTATTTCAATACAAACACCAGTTATGGGCTTTGGTATACATATATATATAAAGGGATAGAGATAGACAGAGAGATAGAAAAGCAAAAGTTGTAAAACATGAAAGAAGTATACAGCGA